TATGAGTACCCCCCCCCCGCCCCCTCCCCCCTTGCAACCGAGTTTTGAAAGTAGTCGCTCTAGTGGGGATGAAATTCCACCTCTTGGGGTATATCGTGTGAACGCCCTCAACACAAATCGGTTTAAAAGCGCTTCTTGGCAATACCGTGGGTTGCATGACGTAATATTCCACACCCCCATTGGACCGATGTTTCAAAGCTCGATTACCGTAAATGACACAAGATAACACACCCCCTGGACCGGTTTTGAAATTCCGATTTCTCAACAGCAGATAGAGCCACAGCGCCGAAAACGGTGGCGTTGAAGCTGTCTGGTCGAGAGCTTTCCGAAAACGTGTTGTTTCATTTATGCATCCTCTTCGTCGTGGCGTAATCGAGCTTTGAAAATTGGTCGAGGGGGGTGNCACAAGATAACACACCCCCTGGACCGGTTTTGAAATTCCGATTTCTCAACAGCAGATAGAGCCACAGCGCCGAAAACGGTGGCGTTGAAGCTGTCTGGTCGAGAGCTTTCCGAAAACGTGTTGTTTCATTTATGCATCCTCTTCGTCGTGGCGTAATCGAGCTTTGAAAATTGGTCGAGGGGGGTGTTATCTTGTGTCATACTCCGCTTTGAAAGGAGAGACGGTCCCGAAAGCGGCACGGTGTTGGAACCGTCTCCGACAGCTTTCCGTAAACGTATCACAGAGGGGGTCCCTCTTTAGTGCCGGTGCCCGGTATATTGCCAGTGTTTTCGGGTGAAACACACTGAATTTCCATGTCAGTGTCAGTACTGCTGTGAAAAGTGCCGGTCAGGTATAGCGCCGGTGAATATTCTGGGCACGTACCGGCAAGAAACAGGGACCCCCACTGTAGTCTCTTCATCAAATTTGACGCAACATACCGTACCCCTCTGCATTTGATTTCGGCACCTTCTTGGTGGCTTTTTATGGTCGTGCTTCGGGAATTATGTCCAACGGCGGTGTGGTAGCTGTTTGCACCCGAGGGTGTTTCAATGTATTGGGACCACTACTGTATTCGGCGTTGCATTCTCGACGTCCTCCTCTTATCTCCCCCCGCCCTCCCGGTCCTCTCGAGCACGCGTTGTCAATGGTCCAACCGCTAAGGTATGCAAGTCATGAACAGCACGCCTCCCCCGCCCGCACGCTCTGTCCTCTCGAGGACCCCACGACCAACGGTCTAACAGCTGAGGCATGCAAAACATACATACCCGCGTCCCGCCATGACACCAACGAGTGCTGAGCGGCCATGTCTGCTTTCGCGTAGCACCCCCTTGCCGCGGCCGCCGCTTTTGGTTGTTGCATTCCGTTTTTCCTCTTGCACGAAGATCATCGATCATACGGGCTGATGTTTAGCACTTGGAAGTAATTATTTGCCTTGCCTCGTCCAAATATCCTCCCTGCGCCGGGTGTAGCAAGTCTTTTTCGCTTCGTCTTTTTGGTTGATATAGCGCAACTTATCCATCTCTGTCCATAGTTGGGGGTCTAGCTTCTTGTAGCAAATGTTCGCAATGCTTTCTTGTAAGGATGACACCAAGCGAATCCATCTCTATCCTATATGAGTGTTTATTTACATGTAGGATGAGCTAGCAAGGAATTTTAGCGTTAGCGGAGCATGTGCTTTCTACGATTCCCCAAGCGGAGCATGCAGCGATGTCTCCCCTGTGAATAACGGTCCCGCCCAATGTTTTGTTGTATCTGTTGTTTGAACGGTCCCGCCCGATGTTTTTTGTTTCATTTTCTTTTTTGACTGTCCCGCCGAATGTCTTTTGTTGTTTCTTCTTTTTTTGTTTTTCAGGGGGCCGATTCGGAGCAAGGAATGGCATCTAAACCTCCAAAGACGGCGGGATGCAGTTGCTCCATATCATGACGGGAGAACACGAAAGATGTACCGTGGGTGGCATAAGATATCACACCCCCTAGACCGATTTTCGAGGCTCGATTACTCCACGACGAGGAGGATGCCGAAATTGAAGCATGCGCTTTCGGAAAGCGATCTCCCGACGAGAAGGTCCCAACGCCCGCCATTTTCGGCACCGCCACTGTTTTTGTTGTCGAGATATCGCGCTTCGAAAATCTGTACAAAAGGGGGGGTGATATCTCGCGCAACCTACGGAAGATTAGAGAAGGCTGCTTGTTTTCTGTTTGTGTCTGTGGTTTTTGTCCACCCTGCCCTCGTTTGATGTTGGGCTGAAAAGGCGGGAGACGATATCGATAGCATAGATAAGCTAGGTGACTTTTTGTTGAGCCACCTTTGGCAGCGTGTAGGGATGATTGGCCGTCGGTGATGGGTCCTGTGGAAACAATGCTCCGCAGGGCGCGTGGTCTATGATCCAAGACGCGAAGGCGTGCAAAACATAAGCACGCCTGAATAGTGAGACTCTTTGTATTGTTAATTTCTTTGGATAAATGGGTGTTTTGTTGTGTGCTTTTGGGGCTAGTCTCTGTTGCCGTTTGAATAGACATTTATGTGCTGCTTCTCCGCCCCGAAAGAAGAGCGTGGAAGAAGTTTTTTTCTTGTTTTGTACAAGAGTACGTTGCCTGGTTCGGTGAGACGACAACGACGGCACCGGTAACAAAACAATTTTTGGACAAGAAAACCAACACGCTGTGCCCGTGTGATGAACTCACTAGTCGCTTTTCAGTATTGATGGGAACACCAACGAGTGTTGCATATGCCTGGTGCATAAACGCTATGCTTTAGGTGTTTTCAGTTTCGACCGAAACACACTACCTACCGTAGTTCGTGGTCGATAGTTGAATGCGCAAGTGTTAGCTTGCTGCTGTCTCTATCTCACCAGACCGCCAGTCACACAGACGGGTGTGTAACACAACAGACAGTAGGTCGAGTCCCTTGGAGGATATACTAGAGTTCAGCGCCGGCACTTCACCACCCTAAAGAACGCGCTACCGCTTGAGAACCTCCTACGCTTGTTTCGTATTGTCTCATGGGGTATTCCCCCGCCCACTATATAGGTTTTAGTGCAGGCGTCTTGACTATGACGAAGCACCTGTTCTTTCTTGCTTCTTGCCGCCAAGTTCTTCGATTTGGGATTTAATGAGGTCCAAGTGTTTAGGCGGTATGTATTATGAACTTGTTCTGTTGTTGCGGTTGCTGCACCTCGTGCCCACCCTCGCCTTGCAGCAACAACCTTCCCAACCGCGAAAGCTTTGCATTAGACTGTGCTCGTTCTGCTGCGGGTGCCGCGGTTGGTTTTCTTGTCGGTCAACACCGGTGACGCCTCTGAGTTATGATTGGCAGAATTACCCTGACTGGCAGGTGATCGATGCCATCAGCCAGCAGGGTCGGAGCTATGAGGTGGTGTTCACAATTTTTTTTGTCTTTCTACAAGCACGCACCGCAGGAGGAAGAAGGTGGGGCACGAAAATAGTAAAAATAAATGCCCTGCTTGGTGTTTACTCCTCCTGTGTGACATTGTCTCACCACGAAAAATGGGGGCACTGTCGCCACAATAGGACGGGTGCGGGTGAAAGCGCTTGGCACACACACTACAGAAGGCACCCAACCAAAACCTGTAATCCGACGACACTTTCTGGACGCGGATAGATCTGCCAAGATCCCCAAGAGGATTCACTTTCCCACCCCCCTCCCTCTCCCGCTTGTTGTAGAGATCGTTTGTAACCTTTAACCACACACTGCAGAGCACACCGCAGGCAGCGAGAGAGGGAGGTCCATCCATGCTGGGATGTATCTAATTCGGCGGTGCTGTGTCGAGAGATCGAGAGAGTGACGACGGTTTGTGTGTGTCGAAAATCACTGGTAGTGGTTGCTCTGTGCTGAGTGCTGTAGATGAGTGGGCGGGGGGCACTTCTGTTTCCACGTCTTCCCTTCGTCCGCACTGGCCTGCCGATGGAGGACAGAGGACAGGCCTAGCCGCCGCCGAAAGAGCCGATTTCCGGAAATTTCGGCCGGAAAACGGCCGCAAAAAAAAACGGCCGATTTTGCAAACAAAGTGGCCGATTTTGCAAACAAAG